GGAGGACAGGTGGGAGACGGCTTTTAAGCTGGCTTTCTATACATGCCAGTGCCGTGGAGCCACCTGCTCCCCTTGCTACCTCCAACAGAGGCAGCAGGGGATGAGGACAGGTGGGAGCTGGTGCTTGGGGGTGGGGGGAACCGGCTTAAAAGCTGGCTCCCCCCTAGCTCCAGTACCGTGGATCCAGGTACTCCCCCCGCCCACTGCTGCCTCCATATCAGAGACAGCAACACAGCAGGGCGGAGGCAGGATGCCTGAGCAGCCCCTATCTGTGAGGTATCAAAGGCAGCATCACGAGAGAGGGAGAGGGGACAGTGGGAACCCATGTATGTGGGGAGCCAGCTTAAAAGCTCCTGTATCAGAGGCAGCAGCACAGAAAAGCAGGAGGATTTTTAAACCAGCTCCCCTTGCACACTGACTCTACAGAGGCAGCAGCATGGGATGGCAAGAGGCTTCCCAGGAGTGGGGCCGGGAGATGGGAGTGCACTGACTGGCCATCCCTACCCCCAAGGAGCATTTTAATAAGTGTGTAACTGATCATCATTACTAAAATAAATGTTATCTAACATCCCTAGTGAATGGTTAACCAGTAAGCCTCACCTTTCCATGGGTGAGACGTACCAGTTATGGTGAAGGAACGGGGGCTGAAACAGCTCCAGCCCCAGGGGGCTTGCTGTGGGCCATGGGATGGGGGGAGAGAAGGAGGCTCCACTCTGCCCAGAGCCACTCCTGTCCATGGTGGGGGAAGACCACCTACCCTTAATCAGTTAACTAGTTAAAAATAATTGTTTTAATGGGTTAAATCAATTAAACAGGACTTTACATCCCTACACTAGACTGGCTAAGATCTGAATAGATTAAGAAGACTAAGGCTAAGTCTAGACTGGCATGATTTTCCGGAAATGCTTTTAATGGAAAAGTTTTCCATTAAAAGCATTTTCGGAAAAGAGCGTCTAGATTGGCAGATGCTTTTCCACAAAAAAGCCCCGATCGCCATTTTTGCGATTGGGGCTTTTTTGCAGAAAACAAATCTGAGCTGTCTACACTGGCCCTTTTGCGCAAAAGCGTTGCGCAGAAGGACTTTTGCCTGAACGGGAGCAGCATAGTATTTCCATAAGAAGCACTGATTTCTTACAGTAGGAAGTCAGTGCTTTTGTGGAAATTCAAGCGGCCAGTGTAGACAGCTGGCAAGTTTTTCCGCAAAAGTGGCTGATTTTCCGGAAAAACTGGCCAATCTAGACACAGCCAATATGTAATATTACTTCCTGTGCTGCATCTGCCCAGTAATTAGAAGGCAACGGATCTCAAGGCACTTAAGTTTTAAAGCTTTCATGAGCACAAACTTAAGAGTTTACATTATTTTGAAATCCAGTAAGGATATGAGAATCAGCCTCTGTCTGTACAAACAAGAGTGAGTTCCACCTGCCCTACTTCATTCCCCTACACACCAGCCCCCTGTCAAAAGAAGGGGAACTTTAGCAGGTTCCCTAGTTTAAGGCAAACTGCAAGGAGTAGACCTGTGGCACCACAGAGCAGGGCTCTGGTCTGGCCCGCCTAACACGTTGATCCAGTTGGCAGGCTACCTCTGGCTGCTTTCTATTTATATCCTGCTACCCATGCCACTGAGGGTGGCTCAGGCAGCTGCATACTATTTTAATGGCTCATGGTGCTACCCCAGCAGGGGCCAGAGCCACAAGCCTTTTAAATCCCTGCCACAATCCCAGCAGTACCCAGGTAAGGTGGTAGAAGCCCCACGCCCTTTTCTGTGTTTAACGTCTTGGACCCCAGATATCTCCGGGGGGAGGCTAGTCCCCAACTCTGCCCTTTCTGCTCTAGGCCCCCCCCTTTGGGGATTAAGCCAGCCAGTGACCACGTAGCAAAATTCATTAAGTGCCCCCCCTTGCAAAAATGAGTGCCCACTCCTGACTCAGAGTCTATCAAATGATGTGTGTAGGAAGCTGACTGCACACACGCAGACCGGAGAGGAGGGAACTGCTGCTAGGGCAGGAAAGGAGGACGGAGGCTCCTACGAACAAGATCACTGCTCCAAACCCCTTGCAACTTGTTTTCACTTGGGCAGCTGTTACAGTCAAAGCACTAAGCCCGACCCGCCGGAGCTTGCTGGCCGCGGCACGATTGATCTCCCGCGACCCGGATCTCCCTCTCCTCCCGCAAGGAGCGCAGCTGCTTAGCCCCCCGCCCCGCATCTCTCACCTGCCCGGGGTCCCCGGGCGCTGCTCTCTGCAGACAGCCCAGCGGCGCGAGACTTACCTCGCGGGGCAGGGCAGCGCTGCGCAGGCAGGCGGCAGCAGTCAGAGGAAGGCGCTTTCCTATATCAGGTCCCGGAGCCCTGGAGGCGCCGCCTTACTTGTCCCGCCCAGCGCCTCCGGGTCTGGGCGGGAGGGGGCAGAGCTGTGTGGGGCCGAGAGGAAACTGCCAGCGGCGCTGAGCTGTGTGACTACAGCAAATCCTCGTGCTTAACGGGACTCCAGGGATAGGCCCTACGGAGAGGGGGAGAGGTGCGAAGGGTGCAGAAGCACCCCTATGCCATCCCCCTAAGTAAGCATGCCCCGGCTGCTGGGCTGCAGAGAGCTGCTCCCTTGTAGGAATGTGCTACCCCTGGCACTGTCTGATTCCTACCCTCCTAAGACATTGCTGCTGGAGGTAGCACAGTCCTACAGGGAGCACTTCCCTACAGTTCTTTGTGTAGAACTGCTCCTTGTAGGAATCTGCTCCTGGTAGCAGTTACTGACACACTGGATTGTAAGAAACTGCTAACGTGTAAGAAACTGCTATTGTAAGACATTGCTACTGAGGATGTTGTGTTTCATGTAATTGACTAATTGAGTAGTAGTCGCATCAACTATTCAATTGGTCAATAGGGTCGGGCTGCCCCTTTGAAATGCTGCCTCGCCGTTTCAAAACATCAGCGCTGCACAGTGCCAGGGGTCAGCTGCAGAGTCTGAGGCATTTCAAAGGGGCAGTGCCACATAGCATCTGCCTCATGGGATAAGAGGGAAGGTCCTTTCATGGATTGAGAACTGGTTAAAAGACAGGAAACAAAGGGTAGGAATAAATGGTAAATTTTCAGAATGGAGAGGGGTAACTAGCAGTGTCCCCCAAGGTTCAGTCCTAGGACCAATCTTATTCAACTTATTCATAAGTGATCTAGAGAAAGGGGCAAGCAGTGAGGTAGTAAAGTTTGCAGATGATACTAAACTGTTTAAGGTAGTCAAGACAGAAGCAGACTGTGAAGAACTTGAAAAAGATCTCGCAAAACTGAGTGATTGGGCAACAAAATGGCAAATGAAGTTTAATGTGGATATGTGTAAAGTAATGCACGTTGGAAAAAATAACCCCAACTATACATATATGATGGGGGTTAATTTGGCTATGACAAATCAGGAAAGAGATCTTGGAGTTATCGTGGATAGTTCTCTGAAAACGTTCACACAGAGTGCAGCGGTGGTCAAAAAGGCAAATAGAATCTTAGGAATTATTAAGAAAGGGATAGAAAATAAGACCCAGAATATCTTACTGCCCCGTATAAAACTATGGTTCACCCACATCTTGAGTACTGTGTACAGATGTAGTCTCCTCACCTCAAAAAAGATATTTTGGCCTTGGAAAAGGTTCAGAAAAGGGCAACTAAAATGATCAGGGGTTTGGAACAGGTCCCATATGAAGAGAGGCTAAAGCGACTGGGACTTTTCAGTTTGGAAAAGAGGAGACTGAGGGGGGATATGATAGAGGTGTATAAAATCATGAGTGGTGTGGAGAGGGTGAATAAAGAAAAGTTATTCATTAGTTCCCATAATATAAGGACTAGAGGACACCAAATGAAATGTGTATAAAATCATGAGTGGTGTGGAGAGGGTGAATAAAGAAAAGTTATTAATTAGTTCCCATAATATAAGGACTAAAGGACATCAAATGAAATTAATGGGTACAGGTTTAAAACTAATAAGCGAAAATTCTTCTTCACACAGCACGTAGTCAACCTGTGGAACTCCTTGCTAGAGGAGGCTGTGAAGGCTAGAACTATAACAGAGTTTAAAGAGAAGCTAGATAAATTCATGGAGGTTAGGTCCATAAAAGGCTATTAGCCAGAGGGTAGGAATGGTGTCCCTGGCCTCTGTTTGTCAGAGGCTGGAGACGGATGTCACGAGACAAATCGCTTGATCATTGTCTTTGGTCCACCCCCTCCGGGGCACCTGGTGCTTGCCACTGTCGGCAGACAGGCTACTGGGCTAGATGGACCTTTGGTCTGACCAAGTATGGCCATTCTTATGTTCTTATGTCAGCTGGGGAGTTCCTACCTGACCTCAGGCTCCAAGCAGCACGCTGCTTTGAAATGCTGCAAGGAGCCTGACACCAGGCTCCCTGCAGCATTCAAAGCGGCAGTGCCACACAGAACAGCTGACCCCAGGCTGTGTGCAGTGCTGCCACTTTGAAGTACCCCTTTTTCTCCCCTCTTTGCTGCCTCTGTCTGATCCAGGCAGCAAGTGGGGGAGAGGGGAAAGCAACTAGTCGGCTATCCTGTCAACTATCTGATAAGCATTTGCTTATAGGATAGTTGACTAGCCCTTAACATCCCTAATTGCTATTGAATGTAGCACAACCCTACAAGGGGCAATTACATACATATACAGTGTAAGAAATAGCTACTGTAAAACACTAGTACCAGACCTAGCAAATTCCTGTAAACCCAGTGATTGTTACCATGGTTCAGGTTTCTTTCCCAGTGCACAAGAATTACTTTTTGCATCTTGCTTACAACACTGATGTTGGCTTTTTTTGCAGGAGTTTTACACTGTTGACTTGTATTTAGCTTGTTGTCCAAAGCTCCTACAAACCCCTCTTCGTGTGTTCTCATTCACAGCCTTTATAAGTAAACTCTCTAAACAGAGTCAACTAGTGAAAGGGGACCCAGAGGGCTGTGTAAGGGCCAGGACAACCCTGCACCTGTTCCTCCCCTCTCCTCCTCTGCCTTTGCCCAGCACCCTGGGCACTATTTTCCTACCAGTTTGGCAATTGCCTTATTATAACTCCATCTAGGTTACATTAGTATCAAAAACTTTACTAAAGTCAAGATAGACCATGTCAACCACTCCCTCCGCCCCATCCACAAGGCTTGTTACCTTGTCAAAGCTATCAGGTTGGTTAGACATGACTGCTTATTTATTTTTTCTGTGATCTTTCCAGGTACACAAATGAATGACCTTATTTCCCTTTTTATAGATTGGCCATGCAATTGCCCTTTTCCAGTCTCATGGAACCTCTGCCATCTTCCATGCCTTTTCAAAGAGCATAGCTAATGACTCAGATACCTCCTTGGTCAACTCTATGGCTATGTCTAGAGTATATCCCTTTTTCGGAAAAGGGATGTAAATTAGACGTATCGCAATTGCTAATGAAGCGGGGATTTAAATCTCCCGTGCTTTATTAGCATAAAAATGTCTGCCGCTTTTTTTCGGCACAGAGCTTTGCCGGAGAAAAGCGCCAGTCTAGACGCTGATCTTTCAGAAAATAAAGCCTTTTCCGAAAGATCCCTTATCCCTTATTTCAAGAAAAAAGTGGTAGCTATTTTTATGCTAATGAAGCACGGGCGATTTAAATCCCCACTTCATTAGCAATTGTAATATGTCTAATTTACATCCCTTTTCCGAAAAAGGGATGCAGTCTAGACGTAGCTTATGAGTATTCTAGGATGCATTTCATCAGACCATGATGACTTGAAGACATCTAACTTATCTAACTAATTTTTAACTTGTTCTTTTCCTACTTTTGCCTCTAATCCTATCTCATTTTTACTGGCATTCACTATGTTAAGCATCCAACCTTGTTGGTGAAACCAAAACAAAAAATTCGTTAAGCATCTCTGCCATTTCCACATTTTCTGTTATTGTTTTCCCCCTCATTAAATGGGCCTACCTTGTACTTTGGTCTTTTCTAAAGAATATGTTCTTGTCACCCTTTATGTCTCTAGTTAGACAAAGCTTGTTTTGTGCTTTGGCGTTTCTAATTTTGTGCCTACATACTTGTGTTATTTGCTTATATTCATACTTTGTAATTTGACCTAGTTTATACCTTTTGTTGTACTCCTTCTTGGGTTTTAGATAATTGAGAACACCATGGTTAAGCCAGGGTTGTCTCTTGACATACTTTCAGTCTTTTCTACCCAGTGGGGAAAACTGCCAGCAGTCTTCACTTGTTTTTCCGCTTGGACTTGCTTCCCATAGGACCTTATCTACCACCTTCATGAGTTTGGTAAAATCCACTGTCTTTATTTTGCTGTTCTTCCTCCTCCCATTCCTTAGAATCATGAACTCTGTTGTTTCATTGCCACTTTCACTCAAAGTGCCTTTAATTTCACATTCTCAACCAGTTTGTCATAATCAAATCTAGAGCGGCTTTCTCCACTTTCTGAAATAAAATATTGTCTCTGCTACATTCCCAGAACTTGTTGGATAATCTGTGTCCTGCTGTGCTATTTTCCTACCAGATGTCTGAATAGTTGAACTCCCCCCATTACCATGAGAACATAAGGTTGTTGTTATGTGCTGACTTGTACTGATTAGGTACACACTTGTACCTGATGTACCCAATAGATCTCTTTTGAGATAAGAAGACTATATCTGCATGCAGTTCTCCAGATGTGAGTATACCACAACGTTATTTAGCGGTAATGAGATATTATCTTTCTTTATTGTTTATGAATATGATAGCCTCCACTATTAGTGATAGGTTTCTTCCTGCAGTCTCATTTTATACCTACAGATTGTTCTTTTCAAAGTTTTCTTTTGGGATGAGGCATACCTGAGTGGTCGACAAATACCTTTGATGTCGGCAGAGGAGCGTCCAGACTATCGCGCTGAGCTGACAAACAGCTGATCAGCTGTTTGTCGGCTCAGCGCGGCAGCCATGTAAATTTAAATGAAGCGGCGATTATTTAAATCGCCGTTTCATTTTACTATGTCCGGTACCCTAATCTACATGCCTCTGTCGCCAGATGCATGTAGTCTAGACGTACCCTTAAACTCAATTCACCTTAGGGCCAGTTCTCAATCCAAATCCCTGAACCAAATATAGCAAATTATTTGAGCTAAAGAGGATGAAATGTAAAGTACTCCACTTAGGAAGGAACAATCAATTTCACACATGGACAGAATGATAGAGGTGTTTTTTTTTTAAATATTAAACTGTTATTGTTATAAGACATATATACAGGAACATTTTATTTTTAATTTCAACAGTTTTGGAATAATGAGAGCTTGACAAGCGGTGGCGAGCCCTGCTCACCAGCCGCGCAGTTTGGCACTCTGCGCATGCGCTAACCTTGCTGTGCGGCTGCACCAGGCTAAAATCTACCCGC